TTTTTTTTTTTTTTTTTTTTTTCTAAGCTTTTCTTGAGCTGAGTCTAAAAAAACCTTTGCCAAGTAAACAAAGGTACCCTTCTTGTGGCTATGTCAGATAAATTAACCCTTTTCTATAGTATAACCTAAACAGTTTCTTGGTTGGCAGTTATTTCTGTTACTAGGGTTACAGTGATTTTCTTATCCAGAAAGCATTTGCTACCCAAGTAATTATTCTTTCTCTCACTGAAACACACACTGCATGTTTTTTGTCATTTACTACTAATACATAACATTTTGTATTCTGTTACCTTGAATCTGCAGGGGGAAGATAAGGCCATACAAATAAATTTGATTAGTCTAAAGTTACTATGTCACTGCTTTCATCCACAAAAGGAAGAAAAATATAAGGAAGGGATTTTTTTGTGGGTTTTTTGTTTGTTTGTTTGTTTGTTTTGAGATTAAGGGAGGGCAGACTAGTTTGGTAAGTGTGGTCTAACTTTCATGTTAACATACTTTAAATGGAGAATTGCACAAGAATTTTGTTTGATATCAGATTATCCTGATCTGTGTTTACTTCCAGTAGGATATATCACTTCTGATGAAATATACCTCAGTAAAAAATACCTGTCACAGATATACAGTAAATAGAATACTTTCTCTGTTTGTTGCTTCTTCCTTAATAGAACTCTTGGGGTTCTAAAGCAAAACATTAATTTGGAAGTTAATATTGCAAAATATGAAAATTCATAAAGGATAGTTGTCAATTACTTAAATTCAAATAAATGACATGCTGCTAAAGTAATAAAATATTTTAAAGTTACTGCTGTTTTGGGTTCATTTTTGTTGCCTTTTCAGTGTTAAGAAAATAAGAATTATGGCCTGTGTACTGCTTTAATGTGTCCTGTACTGGACTTGCTGTGATACTTGTGACTTTCAAAATCTTTTCCCTTGGCAACCTTTAGAGAGACCACAAGGTGCCAAGGCCTAAGATAAGCAACACTGAATTCTATTAATAGAATTCCTAATGTGCAGTAAGCACCAGAAGCATCCTCAAAAGTCTGCTCCCTAAGATGAGACTATCATCAGAATTTTATTGTCTTTTATTTGAACCTTGTGTTGTGTTATTTTTTTCTAATGCAACAGTGAAAAGATTTGACATTGGGAAATGTCTAGCAAACATGCATGTTTTGTCATTTAACCAGTATTTATGTGTTGGATACAAGATGCCTAAGTAAGGTTTCAATAATATGAACAATTATATAGTATGCAAAATATTACATTGGTACACATTTTTGGAAAATTTTAGATATGGGGAGGGACAAGGAATGACACCCTGACCAATGGAAATCTTACCATACTTTTAGTTTTTTAGTTGCCTACACCCTTTGAAACAAATATTTACAGCCACAAAGGCTTTTAAGAAGACAGAGAGTTGGGTTTGGTCATAATTGCAGACTTCAGGCGGTCCTTAATATATAATAAGCCCTCATTTGAAGAATGGTGCAGGTTTCTTCATACAGTCTCAGATCTGTTGAGGGTTTTGGTAAGATTTTGAGGGTTTTGTTGTTGAGGGATTTGGTATGGGTCTTCTTTCTGACAACATTTTGATAATCCCTCAATATGCTGATTATGACCTCCAAAAGAATTACTCAGTTGAAAGTAACATAGTCCTGCACACTCCTGAGGAAAGTGATTTGTTTTACTGCCTGATATTCCAGCTTTGAAAGAGGATATGATATGTAAACAAGATTATGATGCTGTGCATAGAACAGTAGCATCTTGCCAGTAAAATATTTTATTTCAGAGAGCTCTTGATATGACTCTCAGCACTGAACATTTGGCAGGCATAGTTTAAGTATTGCGTGAAATCAGGGACAGTGACTGATGGCACAGTGGTATTCATCCTTCAGCTTGGTTTTCAGTATGATCCCACTGAGGTAGGCGTAAAGCCGGAAGTCATTCTGTTCCATTTCAGTGAGAGATCCCTGAATTATTTGTTGCTTTCTACTAAGGTTAGTAATAACAAATGTGTTTTTAGGAGTGGCAATGAGTGACCTTATTGTTGAGCCACCTCTGAAGATCAAAATAAAAGATATTCCCATCGCCACCTAAATTCATCCTCATCTTTATTCTCTTCATTCTAACACTGATGGCCTTGGTGACAGGCCAAGTATGAAACCTTAATGTCTCCAGATTTGCTGTTAGTTCTGCCTTTAATATACTTGGCAGAACCTTGCCTCAACTGGTATGCTATTGAAGTTAGGTTTAGAGATCGCTATCATGGGGGGGGGGCGGGACTGGACATTAATGTATGTTGAGTTATGATTGGTTTCCTTTTCTATTTGTTTTGATCAAAAATGGCAGATAAGTGTACCTACTCTTTATGTTACGGTCATAAGTAAATTATTCAGTCCACTTTTGAATGATTTCTGAAAGAACAAATAATGTATTTGTTAAAAACATTATTTGGATCTAAAGTCCGAACAAGACTGTTTGTCTCCATGTATGTCATATGTCTGCCTTCTAAGAGGTTTTATTTGTGTGTGCTCCCATTATCTGAGATGTGGATTTCTACAAAGGTGGGGGGGTGTTATCTGCATTTTGAAATGCTCTTCCTAGATTTGTTCAGCTGAAGATATACTTTAAACATAATTTCAACATCAGGCAAAGTCCCTTTTATTTTTCCAGGCTTTTTAGTCTTCTGTACATTGTTCCTTGGTGTGTATTCTTAATTCTGCTCCTGGAGGAAAGACAAATACATTAACAACAATAACAGTAATGACTGACTGTATGTATAGACTTTTTAGTTCAAGAATATCATGCTTTTGGTGTTATGTTTTTGTTTTAATTTGTTTTATTGTTATTTTAACTCTTTTGTTAGCTGCCTGGGAAACTATTGAAGGGTGGGAATATCTAAAATAAAGAAATTCATGATATAATGCTAGAAATGCATTATATAATTTTTGATGAATGTAGCAACACTTTATTTCAATTAGAAAATGTTGACAATGGGATACAGTTTCATATAGTCTAATAACATTCCATAGCTTTCCAATATAATTTGCTGTTATAAGGGGCATTCATTTCAATTATTTGTTTTCAGCTTTCTTTGTTTGATGGGAACCAAGTCCTTCTGTGAACATTTGCAGAAGGAATTATGGATCAATTGTAGTTTTCCTGCTGGAGAAATAGCAGAATAGCTCCCCACCCCCTTTTTTACCTTTTTTCTGCATTCCCAGTATTGCACACTATTCTGTATGGTCATTCAGACCACTGGTGCAGATTTTTGCTGGCATTGACTGTAGGTAGAAGTTGGAATTGAAGAAAATGTTAACCCTTCTGACTTCCTGCCACAGATCTAATCCATTGGTTTTTGTGGTATTAAACCTGCATCTTTCCTTAGGAAATAAATCAGTTACTATTAAAATTCAGAACTATCATGATAGTGTGTGTGTGTGTGTATAATTTTTTTTATGATAGTTTATATTTTAATATTGTCCTATCTTACAGGGTACTTATAAGAACTAAACATAAAACCCTTTGTTTGAAGTATGTTAAATATACATCAGGTTTTCTTAGATGTACCAGTTATTGTGATTTCTAGTATTTCACTTAAAAGATTTTGTGTCATGTAATGAGAAACCCTTCAGGGAATGGCCAGTAGAGGGGAAAATGTCTCTGCAATGACCGCTAGGTTATTTGTATTATTTCAGTTGAAGTGGCAGTGGTAATCATTGTGATTATTGTAAGACAAATTATAGTTGTCATAATTCTCACACTATGAACTTGTTAGTTTTCACTTCATTCACTTCATTAAGTCATTAAGTCCATATTAAAAATCAGATAAAATTTATTTTGGAGACATTGAAGTTTCAGCAATTACAAATGAACTGGAAAATTAAATTCCAGTTTCTGTTTCCATTCTATTCCATTCTAGTTTCAACAGTGATTGAATGATTGTGTGTCACTGTTTTCATCTATCAATGAAACCTAGGCTAGATTTCTGTCATACTAGAACAGGGCATACAACATGGTTATTATCAGTGGCATGCTTATTTTACATGTATTCATAATGAAAAAAGACTTCATCTGGCTTGTACACAATATAGTATGTACCATTCTGTTCCAGGGGTAAAATCTTTTATCTTTATCCCATCTCTAATCCAAGGGACTATGGCATTTTTATG